ACAGGTACCAGACTACATGTCTGGGTCAAGAGAATCACACCACAAGCAGAGACATAAACAAGTGTGTGTGTGTGTGTGTGTGGGGGGGGGGGGGGGGGGGTGTCTCTTCATTGCTACATGACTGCATCATTAGTGTCATTTAGAAGAAGAAAATATCATTTCTATAGCACCTATCAATATAAAAATCACGAGGTGCTTCACAAAAACGGAAAACTATAAAAAAGAATTTAGAAAATGGTTAAAATACATTTAAAATGAGCAAAAATAGACAATTGTGATTAAAAAATGTTAAGAAAGAGAGAGAGTGAATAGGAAAGAGGGAAATCAGTGGATCCTGAGGAAGGTGGAAAAGGTGGGGAGAGCAGAACAAGGAGAGAGTGGTGAAGAAGGTCATACAAAAGCCAGCTTGAACAAGTGAGTCTTCAGCTGCTTTTTGAAGGAGACCACTGAGTCCACTGATCTCAGGCTCAGGGGAGAGAGTTCCAGAGTCTGGGGGCCACAGCAGCAAATGATCTGTCACCTTTGGTATTTAGCCTGGTGCTGCACAACCAGTAGGCTTTGATCACTGGACCTCAGGGACCTGCTGGGGGTGTAGGGACTAAGAAGATCACCAATGTAAGATGGTGCTTGTCCATGTAAGGCCCTATAGACCAGAACCAGGATCTTGAAATGAACCCTGAAGTTGACTGGCAGCCAGTGAAGCTGGAGGAGAAGCGGGGTGATGTGGGTGTATTTGGAAGACTTGGTCAGAAGCCGAGCACAGGCATTCTGAACCACCTGTAGACGGTTCAGGGAGGTTCTGCTCAGACACGTGAAAAGAGAGTTACAGTAGTCTAAGCGTGAGGAGATGAAGGTGTGGAGAACTGTCTCAAGTTCAGAACGGGACAGAATGGAACTCAGCTTAGCAATGTTCCTGAGATGAAAGAAGGAAGAGCCAACAAGAGAACTGACATGAGAATCCAGGGTGAGAGCTGGGTCAAAGGTCACATCAAGATTCCTGACGGAAGGTTTGGTGTGAGAAGCAAGCAGACCAAGAGAGTCTCTGACTTTGGGAACCAGCTTGTCTGGGGCACAGATGAGGATCTCAGTCTTATCTTCATTCAGCTGTAGAAAGCTCCGAGCCATCCAGGTTTTGATAGAGTCTAAGCAGGTGTGTAACAGCTGCAGTTTAGACATCTCATGGGGCTTAAAGGAGATGTACAGTTGGATGTCATCTGCATAAAGATGGTAGGAGATTCCTTTGAAGGAGCTCAGGATGTGCTGAAGAGGAAGCAGATAGAGGAGGAAGAGCAGAGGCCCCAGCACAGAACCTTGTGGGACACCATGGGTGGTGGAGGACCTAAGCTTGGAGACGGCCACAGAAAAGGAGAAGACATCTCATGGGGCTTAGACATTTAGGTTTACAATGTAGTAGGCACAGATTAAATGGACAGCCTCAACAATGGAAGAAGCCTTTTGCAGATGCACACATCTCTGACATCCATATATACCGACAGACCAGTATATATGGATGTTTTCCTCATAATATTCATATAAACACCAATAATAATACTAGGGGTTTAAATGCTATGACCCAAAGACAAAATAAGCCAGTGGTGAAGGTTTATGCATTTAACAAGAAATGTCATAAATGATCATCAGGGCTGATGTGAAATCTAATCCATATCAGTCCAGGTCAGAATTATCATCTCATCTGTCTCATGATCAGCAGCAGCTGGATGTTTATGACCACAATATTTCAAGTGAAGCACACTCCTTTTATGTCTTGAGTTTGCTCACGATCCATATTTCCGTTTAGAAACCGTTTCTCTTCCATGGATGTACCTGCCTGTCAGAGCGTTTAACCACTGGCTGGTCAGCTGCTGTCAGTCATTGTGGGAATGCGTATGGTGTGGGGAAACGGTTTTAATTTCTCTCCTCTGCCTGAGCTGATGGTGACGCGCAGCAGTGATGCACCTTTTGCGCAAACTGCGGCCCTTCATGGAGCTCGTACCAGACTGTGGATGACTGATGATTGAGGACACACAGATTTCTTTTCAAAAATCTCTAGAGATTTCGACTAATGAATACCTGGAAAATTTACCGGAAGGCACTGTACCCTAGAAAAAGTTCTGGTATGCTGAAAGGTTATATTTAGAAATAATGGCGGTACTGGTACTGGTCCAATGCACTGCTCTCTGTCCCTAAAAGGATGAGTCTGATGATCTGATCATCAGAACCTGATCATCATGATCCGTTCCTGACAGCCGCTGTCTCTCCTTTCCCAACCCACCCCACGTGCCAGGCATTGCGCGCTGCGCCATTACTAAACTGGCCCAAAATCTCCACCTTAAACCAGTTCTCCCAACATGACCACATACAGGCCAGCCTGGACATGCATCTGTGGCCAGAGATTTCTTCTTTTTCCATCTCTCCTGTTCTGCTCCACCTTTCCTGGTCCGTCTTGGTCCATTTTGCCTCTGGGGCCAAAGGCGTGGTGGTGCTGTAGCACGCTCTGGGGTGGTGGGTGTCTGCTGCGCTTTGCCAGACCCCGACAAAGTGAGAGGAGGGGGTGTCTTTGTGCCCAGTTTGCTCCGTTTGTGCGAGCATCAGGACAGCAGATGCCCTGATGAGCTGCATGACGGATTGCTCATTTAGATATTCCACACATCATGACCGGCAATCACTGAGCGGGCCAGTTTAACGGCCAGGGCACTGGGAAATCTCCCATTTCTCCCAATTACCAGTCCGCCACTGAAGAGATGTGTGTTAACTTAGAAAATGTGGGCGCAATTTTGATTACTTGTCAAACCTGTTATTTACCTGTTGCGCACCTGCATGGGAAGGCTGTTATAATGAGCAGGTGATAAGGGAAATCAACCTTTGCAGACCGCTCAAATGATTTTTGCATGAATTATTAGCTCTACTTTGTGGATCTGTTCATTTTTCTGGTTGTGTGATGCTTGTGAACGTGGATTGAAGGAAATATTTTTGAACAACCAATAAAGTCGCTTTAATCGAAACCTGGACTGGAATGCTCTGAGGGCGCATCAACACATCCCCTAATTAGCTGCTCGGCGACCCAATGGTTACACTCGCCAACACTTACCATACATCTGATTTAGTGATAAGCATAATAAAATGTGTGTTTTTTAGTTTTCGTAAACATCTATCCATCCATCCATTTTCATCCGCTTATCCAGAGTCAGGTCACGGGTGCAATAACCTAAGTCGAGAGGCCCAGACTTCCCTCTCCCCAGCCGCCGGAGCCAGCTCCTCCGGGTAAATCCCAAGGCATTCCCTGGCCAGGTGAGAGACATAGTCCCTCCAACGTGTCCTGGCGCTACCTTTAGGCCTCTTCCCAGTTGGACGTGCCCGGAAAACTTCACCAGGGAGGCGTCCAGGAGGCATCCTGACCAGATGCCTGAGCCACTTCAGCTGGCTCCTCTCGATGTGGCTCTCGAACTGGCTTCCTCAAAAATGAATGTGCTGGGGGTTAATAAAGACCCATCCAAGATGGCAGCCAGCCACTACAGCAGCTCCAATAGGCAGCGCCAGTTTACGAGGCATCTACGTATATGATGTCTGTGGTAGTAACTGCTGTACCAGCCTTTAAATGAGTGTAAAGCTGCCCACACAAACACTCTGTTCATTACTCTGGAAATACGTCTGGATTTTTACATCGAAAAAAGCATTTGCCATTCTTTTCTGTGCACGCATAACACAGGAAGTCCATTGTTACAGCTGGAGGTCGGGTTCCTCCATCAGAGTTTCAGAAACATGAAGTGCAAAGTTGAGACTATCCAACCAGAAATCTCAGTAGCATTAAAATCTCAGTAGTTTGAAGGGATGAGGGTTTTTCCTGATGTTCAGGTGTCTGTGGGTGGAGCTCTGATAAAACCACCTGACCTGCTCTAAACCCATGAGTGGGTTCCTGCGCAGTGAGTCTTTCCTCTGCTAGTATTTGACTTCCTCCACACACAAAAAAAGATGCAGAGACAACAGAGTGAACCCTGTTCCACTTCCTGTTTTTTCTGCTGATGTCAACAAATTTGTGACCAAAGAAACCAGCCTGAACACAACACAGTGGGCAGGTTTTATGAAACTAGAAGTAAATGGAGGGGGAACTCTTAGAAACTAGAAGCAGACGAGAGCAAAGTTTAGCAGAGTGAATTTCCATGACTGGCTCTTGAACGCCTCTTTGCAATGATGAATGTGTGTTTTGTTCCACAGAGCATTTCTGACCTGTTAGAAACAGACCTCCAGTCTCATAAATCTTGTGGAGACGACCCTCAGCGTCTTTCTGCTGTTGGAATGGGATCTTTCAAACATCTTAACACAAACAGCAGAGAAAGAGTTCTGAAGCACAGCAATCCGCTGGTCCACAGACCATTTAATGACAACCAGCTGTGTTTCAGAACTTCCTACTGAACCCATCTATCCCATTGAGAACATCAAGACTTGTGCTTGCACTCAGACAGACCTCCAATGGCATGAAAGAGATTTCACAGGCTCCTAGATCATGTTTAACATTCCAGGTAGAGAAAACACACTGTCCTCACAAGAACAGAGAAGTGTCTGTGTGTTTCAACGCTCTCAGCAGGACATGCCCTGATGTTCCAGAGGAGGAGTTTATGGGGGCTGGTAAGATGTTCACAGCTGGTACCAGTACCTAACCCTGACCCAGGATATGGAGAATAAGCACATGAACCAAAAAATAACACATCCATTTTGACTCAACAGAAGAACCCAGAACCAGAGTGGAGGTCTGAACTTGTGGACATTTCAGAAGATAAACTACCAAAAACAAGAACCATGAAAAACGGTTGGGGTAAGTTTGGGTTTGAGGTGAACCTCTATGTCTCAAAGCTGGTTCTGGGACTCAGAGGTTCTGACAGGTAAAATGTCTTTGTAAGAGAACGAGCCATTCCCCTGAACATAGACTGACTCTGTCACCTAGTTTGGACTTGTCCACTGGCCCAGAGACAAGAACCAGTGAAGCATGTGTTATCCGGACTCACGTGGGTTTGCCGCAGATCTTCCTGTGGTACCACTGCTTGCAGTTGGTGAAATATTTCTTGTTGGTTCCTTTGATCTGCTGCATGGCACAAACATTGGGTCTGAAAGAAAAGAGACCAACACACTGACATTTGGTTCTAAATGGACCAGAACACATCCAAAACTAGTCAGCACATCCATAAACGGGTCATGTAAAAGGTTCTGGATGGGATGTGAGCTGCTAACAGAATACAAACATCTGATGGAGTTCTCTGAGGAGAGTTCAGACCCAGTTCTAACACCTAACAGAACCAAGATTCATTTTGATTAACAAGAGCTCAAACAGCAGTTTGGTTTCACTTATTATGGACCCATCCAACCTCCAGAACAGGAGATCAGGTCTGACATAACAAACTGAACTGTCTGTTCTGGCGCCGGTTTTAATTTTCTGGCCAAAGAAACTGATGACTAGAACCGGATATTCAGCAGAATTACATTCCTTACGTTTGGACTGGTTTTAGGTTTTACCTCTACAGCTCTCTGAAGTAGTCTCATTACTTACTCAACACTCTTTCTGCCCCGAACCAAGTTCGGCTCAGATAACTGGGTTAGGTTGGACCGAGCACTCACCCTTGCTGACGGCCTCGGATTCGGCTGTGCTGCAGAACCGCCTGGTACGGAGACCGGGCCGCGCACACCACCAGAACCAGGGACATAAGCGGAACCAGCACACACACCCTCATCTTGACGGGAAAAAACTAGAATCCTGCCGCCTCTCAAGTGTCTCTCTTCTCTCCCCTGCTTCTCCCAGCAGACCGGGTGGAGGGTGACTGTGGAGGAGCAACGGGACTCGGGAGGAGGAGCGAGACCACCAAAAAACAAAAACTGGAGTTCGAGCATCCCGCTGACAGAAACAGGAAACTCGTCGAATCCATAAACTGAAACTCATTTGGTGAGAGACTCAGCCGAGACCCCGTCCGACCTGGATCTCGTTTGAACTCTTAACAAAACTCGTTTAAAACCTAAACAAAACGCAAATCAGTCAATCAATATTAGTAAGTCTGGAAGTCAATCAATGAAACAAGCCAATCAATCAATCAAAAAAAATCAATCAACCAACCAATCAATCAACCAATCAATCAACCAATCAATCAATTTATCAATAAGTTTAATTCAGTAAATCAGTAAAAGGAGCTGCCGATTGGATTAAATTCATATAACTTTATTTAAATTGTGCCAAATCACACAAGAGTCTTTTCAAAGCACTTCACAAGCTAAACAAACCAACGTAGTTAAATTTATTTTGCAATTTAGTTCAAAGTTTCCTGTATAAGGAACCCAGCAGATTGAGTTGTGTCAGAAACTTTACAGCAATCCTCATATTACGCAAGCATGTAGCGACTGTGGGGCTGAAAACTCCCTTTTAACAGGAAGAAACCTGCAACAGAACCTGACCCAGCTTGAGAAGACATTGCAATTTCTTAATAGATATTCTATTTACGAACTAAAGTGTATCGTCTTTATCTGAATGAATCTGTAATTAATTCAACAGATGATTTAGTAGTAGTACATTCTATGTTAAAGTTGTGGAAGTGGAACATAAGTTTAATTGATACATTTGCAGGAGTGTTTAGTAGGAATGAATGTCTTGTAAGTCATACTGAGGGGAAAAAAGCACTGATGCACCATTTTCAGGAAGCAGAAGTGAGCCACATCAGAGCTGAGCTTTACATGATTATCAGATTCTCTATCCTTAGAAATAAATGCGTGAAACTGACAATGCCGGTGTGGCGTGTAGTTCTGTGTGTGACCTGTGGTAACACTCTTGTTACAATAACAACACTAAATGTGTTGTGTAATTGAAACAGGCAGCTGCTACCCAGCAAATGTTGGTCTGACGGCAATGTGTTCTGGGCCAAAAACTGTGGCGGTAGGACAGCTTACATTGATAAAAATATGTAACAGAACATTTCCTAAATGTGTACGTGTCTACAGTCATCGGGGGTTACATGTATAATAGTTATTTTGACAATTAGGTTTAGTTATATAGCACATTATGAATCAGATGTAAGTGGACATCCACTAGGTGACGTCAATTCTACTTTCATTTTAGAACGATTTTTCAACCATGACAGCCGGGACGTCTTGAACCAATGTTGTTTCAATGGTCCTCAAATGTCTGAATGTTTGCTGGGTAGTGTCGTTCGTTTACTGTTTCTGTTTGCTGAGATTGTCAGAATAGAGAATCTGTTCATCTCCAAAGGCAAACTGTGTCACGTAATTCTTCAACATTAACCCGCACAATGCAGAAGACATGTTGCACCTTCGTTGCATCAGCGGTGTAAAGTCCAGGCGTGTTAGGCAAATAATTGTAGATATCCCTGTACTGAACTAGTGGACAGTCAGCCCGCAGCTTGTTAGCTATTTGAAACAGATCTGGAAGCTTTCTGCTGACGTTAGCTTTGAGATTTTTCTTTTTTGAACGTCTGCACAAAGATGTGTTAGATGATCTAACGTAAGAATATCTTGGCCTATTGTGTTCTGCAATACACTGCACCGAGGAATAACATTCCTTTCCCACCTGGCACTCCTCAACCTCGCTGTGAGGACCCTGACATACAGCTCCGTCCTCGACGTAAATGATTTCAACAGGGAACAAGGCCATGAGAAGAAGTTTTCCAGTGACAACGTTGTACGCCAAACTCATTGTTCAACTTTAAAAAGTTCTTTTCATGAGCTCAAAATGTCAGCTAACATGCCATACATTTGGTGAAGTTTATCCTGGACTTCCTTCACATCGTTTGCACCACTTTGCATTTGCAGAACAGCGTACATCAGAACCAGAACCCAGCCACTTCCAGGTGCGCCATGCCTCCAAGGCATATTTGTGCTGGGGCAGGCCTTCCCTGCAGTCACGTTTTCATGACTCACTGCAGAAGCTCTGTAACTGGGGGGAAAAAAACTGATTATTCTGTCTTTTTTTTTTTTTTACAAGTATTGTTTAAAATCATTTTAAAAATTCTTCTTCAAAAGTATTATCTGTTCAACAAACGAGTTGTACTTTAGAGCTCTGCCTGGTCAGTGTCGCCATCACACACTTTGCAGGCCCAAGCTTTGTTCTTGCTCATCAAGAGGCTTGGGATTAGATGTGCCAGGGTCTACACCTCAGACACTCGCCAAAAATGTATCTGTCAGAACATTCACCACTGCAATGATGCTGTGCCACTCGAAGTTCTGTTTTGCTGTTGTGATTCAACAACTATGACCCCCACATAAAACGTTACTCCCTGTTTTGTACTTTTATTTTTGCCCATTGAAGTCCATCCTTCTCCCCTTCCTCAGCCTGGTCCCTCCCTCAGATTGTTTCATAATTCCTATTTTTGAAAAACCATTTAAACAGCAAGTATAATATTATATATATATATATATATATATATATATATATATATATATATATATATATATATATATATAATAGCTTTACAGTATACTGTAGGGGTAAAACTGCAGCTGAAGCTGGGAGTGTGGATAACAATTGGAAAATGTCCATATTCTGGGGGCAATAGCTCATCATATAGAAATGTGAACTAGTTCACATTTCTATATGATGAGCTATTGCCCCAGAATACTAGTTCACATTTCTATATGATGAGCTATTGCCCCAGAATACTAGTTCACATTTCTATATGATGAGCTATTGCCCCAGAATACTAGTTCACATGATCTATTGCCAAAGACCAGACTTAGTCTTTTTTGGAACTGTAAACTGTCTTCGTCTTCGTCTTCCTCCGCTTATCCGGGTCCGGGTCGCGGGGGCAGCATCCCAATTAGGGAGCTCCAGGCCGTCCTCTCCCCGGCCTTGTCCACCAGCTCCTCCGGCAGGACCCCAAGGCGTTCCCGGACCAGATTGGAGATGTAACCTCTCCAACGTGTCCTGGGTCGACCCAGGACACGACTATAGGGGAACTGTAAACTGGGTTCAGCAAATTGAATTAACATGAACTATGAGCTGAAATAGTTAATTTTAGTTAATAGTTAGTTTTAACAACTGAACTTTGAACCTGTTCATAATTAAAACTAACTTTTCCAATACTGGATTGGAGGGTTTGACTATTTCTACAGGTGCCGCCGTGTCAGCAGGCCTTCAGTGATAACAGTTCAGTACGCAAACTTTTATAAATGAGGCCCCCTATTTAAAGCAGCACCTGAAGATATCTGAACACACCTGAGAAAGGCTCTAATGAGAAGATGAGCAGCCGATCGGGTTTGAAAACAGAATTGTATCACGCTGCAGAAACCGGAAGTACCATAGAAATGGAGGGGGAAGATCTTCTTTTTTTTTCTTTATCAAATGTTGGGTAGAACACGTTCAGTACTCAGACGAACAGTTTAGTTCAAAATGTTTCGGAACCTGACCTGAACGGCAGGCTCCCTGGTGCAATCAGAGTTGAGAGTGACAGGTGACCTCACCTGAGCAGAGTGAAACCTCCTACTTCCTATCGCATGCAAGAGGAGGCGGATAAAAACCGGAGCATCACCTGTTCCTCCTCAGTCCGCCGTGTTCCTCCTGTTCTACTTTGTTCTAGAGCGTAGTCCACATACTTGTACGGTTTAGTCAGTCGACGGCTGCCTTTCCGACTCACCCCTTCTCAGGTCCGGTTCAGCTCGGAGCTCCAGGAGCAGCCGCCGCGTGTCCGCTGTGAGGGCAGCGTGCGGGACGCTGGTGTCGGTGTTGAACGACTCGTGGTAGGACAGAGATGCCGGTTCGGATCCCAGACGACTCGGACTTTTTGTCTTTCAAGGATCAGTGTCTGAGTTTGGAGGGATGGACAAGCCGCTACAACAAAAGCGGAGTGACTGTTTGGTGTCGAGAGGAGGACGCTAACACAGTCCAGAAACTCAAGGTGAGAGCCGCTCTCCTGTAGCTCACCTGACAGGTTTTCACAGTACAGGCTTCTTTGGCAAGTGGAATATTCCTCAGCGAAGTTTAGTAAAACTTAAGAATGGTTTAAGAATTGTTCAGATGGAGACATAAGAGACCAGATCAATATCCCTGTCAAAAGACTTAAAGCTCCAAAACATCCATACAGTTTCAGATATCAGTGCAGGCGTTACTGCAGACAGTTGTTCCTTTAAACAGCTGTTCCTTCAGACAGCTGTTCTCCCTAACAGCTGTTCCTTCAGACAGCTGTTCTCCCTAACAGCTGTTCCTTCAGACAGCTGTTCTCCCTAACAGCTGTTCCTTCTAACAGCTGTTCCTTCAGACAGCTGTTCCTTCAGACAGCTGTCCTATCAGGTGTTCCTTCTAACAGGTGTTCCTTCAGACCAGACCGTTGATAACGTCCTGAAGCATTGCGTTAGTCTCAGTCATGCTTTTTTACAAGCAGTTTAAATAAATACAATATGGTCGGCGTCAGCCTGATGTTTGCAGCCGCAAACGAAACGTTGCAGGTAAACAAACCTTTTGTGTGTTTTAAAAAGAACTGAAAGATGAAATTTGAAACTCAACACAACAAGAACACACCAAATATGTTAAATTCAGTTATTAAAGAAATTTATCTGAGGATTTGTTGTATATTAGTTCTCTATTGTAATAAAAGAACACTAAAAACGACCCCAAATAAGCTTTAAGGTGCATATGACTATTTCTCATTACGGGTTAAGGCCTTTCTAAAAAAAAAAAAAAAAAAAAAAAAGACAGGCTAAAAGCCCTGTTCCACTTTCTACAAACCAGTTTTGAAATCAAAATGTCAAACGTGGCTGAAAAGTAACAATTTGTTTATTTGCCGTGGTGGCTTTCTTAAATTTGAGGGGAAAAACATGTAGTTTTGTCTTAGTACTCTATCAGCTACTATCACACCAGTAAATCAAAATGATTTTTAGCCCAACCAGCTAAGTGCATTTGTGATCGGGCTGCAAACAAACAAATAAATAAAAAATTATATATTTAAGAATGGCATTAAGAAATGTACCACATTTGAATTAGCAGTTCAAAAAATGTCAAAGTAACTTGCATAGGCTTATAATTGGCTAATAACATCAGAGCACGGTAACACATCATTGTTCCTCTTGTAATGTTCCTCTTGTCAGGTGACAGAACAGTTTTTGTATCATTAAAAAAAAGCTATTTAGTCTATTTTAATTGCATTATTCTGTATTTTGTATTTTTACAAAATGAGTCCACAAATTGAAATGCACACACTTCAATGTTTGGTTTTACCTTGATGATGTTTCATATTTAGTTCTCTTCTCAGGTTTTTGTAACCTTAGCCTTCTGAGAACCATATGAATATTATCAGACAGTATTTTTTACTGGCTCTTTGCATGAATAATGCAGTCCTAAATTCTATTTAGGAATTTAGTTTCTGAAATTAGGCATTTCATAAATGTCCCATTTGTGATATCACAAATGGAGAAATTTGCAAAGAACCACTTCTCACCTGTTGAAGATGGAGGAGCGGTGGCTCTACTCAGAGCCCATCTTGTGACGTCACGCTTACAATGTGAACATTAAAACCCCTGTAAAGCTAGTCCACATCAAGACAATTTGTTGCTTTTTATTGCTTTTATTTTGTTGATTACATCATAAAATGGTAATGGCTTCCTGTGCGGTTGCTGCAAGAACAGATGAGGGTGTAAACCTTGTCTTTGGATGGAGGCAGAAGATGGGATGGATAGCAGCTACCAATCAAATGCAGTGAACACTTCTTTCATGTTCATAATTTTCACGAGACTGTGATGAAGCTAAAATGACAAATGTGATGGTTTATTATTTCTTTAGTAATGAAGATCTTATAGGGAGCCTAACGCCGGGGACACACCGGCCGCCGAAGCGCCGCGAAAAGGGGACCGCCTTCATTCGGCGCCCTTGTTATCCTATTCTATAGACCACATGGGCCGCCGAAGCGCCGCGCGCCGTGCAGTAATCATTTCGACGTCTGCTCTATTCGCGAGCCGTGGGTGAACCGCGTCAATTCTGGCAGGAAGTCAAACCTAGACATAAGAGGCAGGCCGGTAAATTTAACAAAATAAAGCATTTCAAAATACAATTCTGCAATAGTCAAATGTGTTTGTAAACAGACACTGCATAAAAGCCACACACGTGTGTGTGTGTGTGTGTGTGTGTGTGTGTGTGTGTGTGTGTGTGTGTGTGTGTGTGTGTGTGTGTGTGTGTGTGTGTGTGTGTGTGTGTGTGTGTGTGTGTGTGTGTGTGTGTGTGTGTGTGTGTGTGTGTGTGTGTGTGTGTGTGTGTGTGTGTGTGTGTGTGTGTGTGTGTGTGTGTGTGACCACGTGAAGGGGATGTGGTTTGGGTGTCTTTCAACCGGAGCAAACAGGACGGAGAGGCAGAAAGTCGTAGGCCAGCTATTAACAACTGGTTCACACAATAGTTTCACACACACACGTACAAACACACACACGGCAAGGGGGAGGGTGGTGTAGAGGAAAAGAGCAGAGAAAAGATGGAGAGGAAATGGAGGACACCAAGTGGTTAAAAGAAAAACTACGAGGCACGCCTCGAGCGGAGAAACAAGCGTCTGGTCTGAACTGAGGAGCAGCGGGCGAATTTCGTGAGCGCTTCACCTCCCGGAGCTTTGCGGCGCTTCGGAGGCCGGTGTGTCCCCGGCGTAAGTCTCCTCCCTTTCTGGTCGGCTCATGGGTCCCTGAAACATCGACAAAAAGTATGCAAGTCAACGGGGCTAAAAGTGCGATTTTCTAATGCGCTTTGCCGTTGACCCTGGATCACATATATGTTGTACTGCAATTAAAATGAAAACTAATGACGGGTATTTTGACCACGCCAGTCACGTACTTTGAGATTCATCAGCTTGTAAAAGTTCGTACTGAGCATGACTACAAACCAGACATCGGCACGTCGCATATATGACATCACCACATAATCTCCTCTCCCCTAGCTTAGCTGCTACTTACCACATGGCCAGATTTATGGTGGTTCTTTCACTTTGAAGGAAGGATTTAAAGTTCGCTGAACTTGCAGCCATTTTCCCTTTGTTTTTCTCCGTGTCTGGTTCGATGACGTCACTTTTGTGAAGCGCATTTGTAATCCTGGACTTATTTTCACACAATCTAAAATAAGGTTACCCCCGTTCGAAAATAAGCATTCATCTTTAAAATTCATGGGCATCATGTGTGAAATCCACGGCACATAACGAGTGGAATTAGAAAATAGCGTTTTTAGCCTCATTGACTTGCATACATTTTTTCGTTCTTCTGGGGACCCATCGTCCGGAAGTAGATGGGTGTGACTTAGGCCCCCTATCGAGGAAAGTGCTACTGTCCATTGTAGTGAATTGCTAGACATTAATAATATTGATCCAATGTAGAAGGACGTGTGTGAAAAATGTTATTTATTTAGCATGATGAGATTTTTCATTATCTTGACCAGCTGTGAGAGCAGAAACTTGTCTCTGTAACCCAGCCAGCAACTGATAACAGGTGGGGATCTGCACTTTTAATTCAACGCGAGTGTAAATTATAATGGTTTAAAATGAGGGTGAGAAATCTGGCAATGTCAAAAATGAGATGAAATTGGTGAACACAGCAGCAGGGAGGAGGTATGAGTTGGTTTCTAAGCTAGCTAACTAACTTTTGTAAATACTGCACTCTATGAGCCCCACCTAGGTCTGCCACTTGTAGAGCGCCAGTGGCTCAGGGGTTAGGAGTTTGCCCTGTAATTGGTGGGTTGCGATTTAAAACCTAGGGTTTGTCCGTTCTGGTCATTATCTTTGGGCAAGATGCGTCCCCTTCCTTGTCTGCTGGTAGTGGTCAGATAGACTTTTGTTTGGGCATACGGATGTCTGTGACTCAAATCTCCTCCACTAAGGGTGATGGAAGAATAAGTTATGAAGAAAGCATTTAGTAGAGTAGAATGTACCTCCATAAATGAGTGGAGGCACTGTATGGCTCCAATCATATCTTCTGGTCTGGGCCCTGATCATGATTTTGGTCTTGGTCCTAACCATGGTTCTAACCCCGGGTTTGTTTGCGGTTGGATTTTGTAGAAGCGGAACTGCGGATCTGCTTCTTGTTTTTAACTCAAACATGAAACCTTTGTCTCCAAAGAAACATGATCAGTGTCCTCAGGGACAAAAGAACACACCCAACCTGCCACGCACCTGTTAGTGCTCCCAAAGCACAGTGGTTAATGTAGGCGGAGAAACTAATGAAGGAACAAAATGGTTTGGTGTAAATTAGGACATTTGTAGCTGACTCTGCTCGAGTTTCGACTGACAGGAATTAAAGTTGTAACTGCAGCTCATCTGGTTGGAATCCACTGATGAAACATGCTGCAGAGCAAACATTTCCTGGGCTTCATCCCAGGGAGGAACACCGCTCCTAATGTCAATATTTAATGTCACCCGGAACCAGAGGGTGGACTGCAGTGCATGCTGGGAACATACAGGAGGAATTTGGTCTGTTTTTTTTTTTGTTTTGTTTTGCTCCACCCATTACTCCAGCTGGAGTTCTAAACCACAGCTGGACCACCTGTGACTGGGTTTGACAGAAATGGAACACGAACATGTGACAAGGTTTGCATGTTCGGAGTCAGCTGAGTAGTTTGTGTGAAGGCATCACAGCAAGCTGACATCATGGAAGCCTGTTGGCTCTCTGGTAACTGAGTTTGAAAGACAAGACAGTCTAGGAAACACGGCTGCTCCTTTAGACTGAACAACACTGAAGATCCTGCAAGCGTTGACCCTATTCCATCTGGACTAAGTCCAGGAAGAGCCTGCAGCTAGCCAAAGGTCACTAGAAAACAGCTGACATGCTGTCAGACAGACAGATATGCAGAAACTTGTAGAATTTCAGTAAATAAACACAAACAAAACCTTTGGACGACAAGTAAAGGGTTCTTTTATTTTATGTAAAGACTAAAGTAATGGACTGAATCCTTATGTTGGCCACTTAAAACTTTCTCACTTGGAACAGAAACAAGTTTTCACCAAAATTCTTCCTCAGCTGAAATGTTTCAAATGTCTCAAACTCTTGTCTTTGAAAACGTTTTATTTGTTGTTCCTAAACAAAAGGAACACGAATCTCTGATTGCTTTACTGATACAGACTCCTGACAATGCTGGAGTTTTGTTCTGCGCTTAAACTTTGCGGTTTCAGATTTTTGGGTTGGCCGACCCAGGTAACAGGCATGGGGGACTGCAGTGGCAAAGATGACTCAGAAACCACCATGTTTCCATACTTCCTGGTTTTAGTGAACTCAGTGAGATTTTACGTTTTGTACCAAATTCTGTTTTGTTTAATTACATAATTCCTTGCATGTTTTCTGCATCACAAAAATCACTGAGCCCCATTTATCATCTTGGAACAAAAAGAAAGAAGCCAGTCACAAAATGCAGATGTCTCAATGCTGGAAAGAGCCATGTAGGATGTGTGGTGTCTGAAACCTATATTTGAGTACTCCGTGAACCAAAGAATACA